TTTATTTGGAACAAAAAATTGATTATATAGTATGTCCAACTAATGGTGGGGAATTATGTCTTCATTTGTTAGTTGGTCAATAAATCAATTATGAGTATGTATATTATTAAGTTCATTTTATTAATTTCGCTGAAGAATGTTTTAATCAGTGGGAGTGATCATTTAGAAAAAGATCATTAAGATACTCCACTAAAGCTTATGGATTTAATTGGCTACATACGTTTCAAATTGGATTGTATGTTACACAATAAGTCCATAAGATTCCACAAGTATTAATCTTGTATTTGTTCATATAAATTCATAAGTTCAAATTATTGAACATTCGGTTGTGCAACATATTTATGAAAATGTTGCAACAATATTATGAAATTTATTAGAACAAAAGCATTTAACTTGTGGGGCACTGTCATTTAATAAATTTTTCAGTGATTAATAGAGTCTTTAGTTTCTTCAAAATTGATCCTGGGTCATTTCAGTTGTAAGGCTCAAAACAATTTTGTGGGACGGATAAGTAAGACTCATTATGTTCAGTTCATTTAAAATGAATGTTGAAGTTATTTGGGAAGTTATGGTGTATGATTAAGATTCCAAATTTATGGACTTAGACCTTTGGTTTATTGTCTAAGTTATTGGAATGCTTTTGTGACTTGACTATCTTTTGGCTATTTTTGATGAGTGGGAGTGACAGACGTGTCAACTCCAAGCTCTTAGCTGTTAGAGATAGTACTTAAAGTTAACTTATAAAGAAGTCATGCAATATAGTTAGCATTATGCTAACATTAAGAGATCTCTACTTAAGGCATGCTTATAAAGTTTTAGAGATCATACAGTGTACTCTTTTGGACAATTTGGATGCGTTTTCTCCTTCAGTTGTGCACATAATGTATTTTGAGAAACATCCCTTAAGGTACCGAGAATAAACATAGGGTTTGTTCATTAAGGACCTAAGTTGGAGAATTAAAATTCATGTGACCATAATGGATACTACTCTGATTAAATAAAGGACATATCACTATGATTCGTGTGTTTTGTTCTTTGATGAAGGTTGTGCTAGTACTTGCACCAAGTGGGAGAATGTAAGATTTTCTCTTATAATATATATTGTATATTATATATTAGGGTCTTAATTAAGTGGTGCAAGTTGACTAGGCTTATTAAGTGGTCTGGTTGGACTTAATAACTAGTCAACCAAACTCTGTGCCTAATATAACCTGGATTGATGGGATGCAGGATTATGGATTAGATAGCACATTCAGTTACGGTACTCAGACCGCTCAGTAGATACCAATACACCATCTAGGGTTCTGAGTCAGGTCTAAGACAAAATATGGCTGACGGTCTACCGTTAAGAGGCAACACAACAAGAACATCAACTGTGGCTGGAGATAACACGGCTACGCTTCCGCTATCATACGAGGTCAGGTTTCTCGTATACTATTGTTCAGTATTAGTTAGACTATTGTATATCTAACATTTAATTCATAAATGATAATTGAGACGAAGGAAATGATAATTGACGTACACGTACATTGTGCAAATTAAGCAAAAACATGCAGCTTTAATTATATTTGCAGTCAGAAAATTTTTGGATGAACAATGATGTCTCAGGCATCAAAATTAAAATCTATCAACTTAGTTACATCCTCCATATTGCATATAAAATCCATAAATGAACTCGAACTGGGTTCCTGCAAAGTGTCTATCGGAATACCATAACTGATGTGGTGCTCTTGATCCCTATCTGTATCCCGGTGTGCTGGAACGATTAATGTCTCCATGGGAACACCAACCAAGTATGAATTCATATCATCATCCGGTAGCAACGTTGTTTGATCACCCCCAACCAGAATAGCATTATCCAAGTTGAAGTTGTGGTGGTGGCCACCATCAAGTGATGCTAAGTATGAATCCATATCATCATCTGTCACTGCCAATGTCTCCTCAACCAAGTATGAATTCATATCATCATCATCATCATCAGCCTGCACTGCTAATGTCTGGATTGGGGATGGAGCCGTAATCGGCGACCACGTTGTCTCAACCTCCAAATCGTTGCCGCAGGTTGTTGTTTTTTCATCATCATCATCTTCATCTTCATCTTCATCTTCATCTTCTTTCTTTCGCTCTAGGCGGCAAAGCACGAAATCTTTTCTCTCTTCCAGACTTCCACGATGGGATATTCTGCCCTAGCTTTCTTGATTATAGACTCCGGAAGGGAGAACTCTTTCAGAAGCCACTGTCGGTCTTGTTCCGGTTCACTCCGATTCTTGTAAATGAAGCACCGCTTATATCCCATCACAAACCTCCCTTTCTTGTCAAAAACTGGTTTACCTTTGTCCTGCCCGTGCCAGTTTCCGGATCTCTTCCCGTTCACCTTCTTCCCGACGCTACGTTCAACCCTACATCCCGTCATCGACTTGCCCTTCTTCTTCAACCTACTCAAAAAGTATGTCATATTTTCCGACGGACCACAGCGGATTAACTCCCATGGTTCTTTATCGTCGAAAATATCTTCCTCATGAATCACCCCTTCATCGTCGAAAATATCTTCCTCATGAATCACCCCTTCATCATCCTTTCTCCCTGTAGCAAATTCGAACAGAAACCTAACCACATCGTAATCAAAAGGTTGGAACCGATAACCCAATGGAATCTCCATAACGCCAAAACCTTCGTTACGATCGATCGATAGCGCCTAGCGGAATGGATATATGATATATGGGAATGGGATGTTAATTTACTACTCCAATTTATAGCATTCCCATTTCCCGCCCGATCCCTACATACTTACGTACAGATCAGAACAGGTTCGTACTATACGTACGTACTTCTATCATATAATCGTCGGTTAGGACTTAGGAACAATATTTATTTTATTTATTAAAAATGACTACAATATCCATATTAATTACAAGGGTATCAATGTAATTTAGATTCATTATTATTACTAAAGAGTAATATAATAATAATACCCCTAAACCCTAAAATAGTCACCCATCTAGCTATTTAATAATTCTCAAATTGGTAGTCAGCTATCGATTAAATCAAAAAATATATATGATTTCTCAATCATGCATGCAATCATTTTAGTGTAATAATATTTTAATCACATATAATACTTTTTAATTAAAATGTAAGAAGCTATCTTGTACCATCAACACTTTCTTCTAAAGTTATGGACATTAAAATTGTCTAACAAGAAAACTAGTTAATATTCAAACATGCATCTTATCAAGAATTAAGCAAATACTCACTATGTTCTCACCACTTCCATAAGATATGAAGAAGGCGACAATGTTCTGAGTGGCAATGGCAACGCAACGACGAAAGGGTAGCGACAACAAACACACAACTAAAGTTGGTCAATTGATCAAGTAAAAATTTGTGGGCATTTAGCCCGTCCTTAATAAGTATAATTAGTATCAAAGGACTTAATTAATTTAGTAAAATTTTGCATAGTTAAGCGATCATTTCAGTTTGAGTATTTTATAGTTCAAATAAGTTTGAGTAAATTTTGTGTAATATCATTTCACTTATTATAATAATTTTAAATTTAAATGTAATATTATTCTATTCTACTAAAAAAATAAAAAACTCTATTCTCTCACTTTTAAAGACGGTCTCACTCAATACTTATTCAACAAGTGCTAAGAGCGTTGTAGTCTAAGCTTTCCAGGATAAAACTTGCTATTATTCAATGTTTGAGCACCCAAACAAGGAATCCAGCGAACTAGAGCAACGTGATGAACACAATTCGGCTAAGAAAGAAAGGAATCCGGCGAACTAGAGTAGCGTGATGAACACAATTCGGCTAAGAAAGACAGCGAACTAGAGCAACGTGATGAACACAATTCGGCTAAGAAAGAATGAACACAATTCGGCTAAGAAAGAATAGAAGCAAAGAGATTTTGGAGCTAGAAAACGTTTAAGTATGTGAACTTGTTTTTTTTATATAGCTTTGGCACACACAAGATTAGGTAGGCTTGACGTCTCGTTTTGAAATTTGATTTGCACCCCCCTATACACGAAAAAGAGCCTCTATGCTATACAATTCAATAAGCTTAAAAAGTGCTCTTGTATAAATAGTGGGGCAAATCCTCTTCCCAAACCAATGTGGGACAAAAGCTCACTTTTTCCCTTCATTTTCCAACTCAAATGGGTCTACTTTGAGAATCAATATCTAATTCACCCATTATCCGTTTTGAGCGTACAATATATCAATCTCTTCGTCTCGCTACGAAGAATCCGAATCCACTTTGACCCGATCCAAATCGGAAGTGGACTCCACTGATAATTGTACCACAAAATAGCCACTTAACATGCCATTTTAAGCTACTTTTTCCAACAATCCCCCACATGAATGAAAAATTGATTTTCAGGGTATTTTGAAATCGGAAAGAACTGTGTTCAACGGTAGATCCCTGCATAGGATAGGTCGGGGTACCGCACCCTTCGAAACCTTCCCTTGTGAAGATATGTTTACTCTACTGGCTGTACGGTAGAACACGATGTCTTTGGACCGACTGCCGTTTGTGTAGACGGTGACATATCACTACAAGAAAATTGGCCATTAGTGAGAGGTAAAACCGTCACTAAAAGCTCAAAAACCATCATAAAAGACTTTTAATGACGGGAAATATACCGTCGTCACCCGTCGTTATTTCTTCCGTAGATAAAAATAAATAGCGACGGGATATGATGCCATCATTAATAACCATATAGTGATGGTGTATTTACCGTCATTAAAACATTCTTTTTGTGACCAAGAATCCCGTCACTAATACAACTATTCACTAACATAATTTCCTCTCATTATATTCTTGTAATGATGAAAAGTCCCGTCGTTAATATTACTATTTGTCCGTCACTAAAAATTATAATTTAGTGTCAAATATTAATTTTCTAATTTTGTATATATTTTTACTTCTCATTAAATATTAATTTTTGTAATATATTTTTTCTCACTAATCAAAATTATGTTATGTTAATTTTTTCCATAATGCAATCAAAGTAAACTTGATCAATATATTAAAAGACATCATCATCATTACCAAAATGAAATGTTTCATACAACTTTGTAAAGACTAAAGACAAAGAAACTTGTAATTTTGCATTTCCTCATTTTAATCAGATTAACTGGATTAATCAACTGATGAAAAGGACTGACTTATTCAGCGATGAAGTCAGTCAGTAACAACAGATCATAGAGATGTTTAAAGAAAGAGATAACAGCACAAAGCAAAAAACACAAGATGTTTACCCAGTTCGATAGAGTGTGTATCTACGTCTGGGGGACGATCACATAGGCGTCAAATCCACTAAATCATAATCCAAGGTACAAAGGTAGAGAAACAATAATCTCACCCAAGTGCCCCATACAAGGTACGTACCCAGTCTACACAGGTTTAGTGGATTGTTGAAGGTGGAGAGCCAACTCTGATGCAGTCCACTTCAATGACGCTCTTTACAGTTGTTCCCACAACAGTGTGATCACAGTGTCCTTTCGTTTAAGCAGTAGTGGTTCTTCTCAAGTTCTTCATCTTAATCACCATGAACATGTTGTATTGAGAAGAGGCATAGGAATCAAAGATCTGATCTCATAAAACTGATGCGGAGTATTTCTTCTCTCTAAAGGCGTAACCCTAATTCTCTTCGAATGAGGATACTTATAGTTCCGTCGAAAGAACACTCCTTCCATAGATGTCTTTGATTATAGATGGTAGGACAATATTTGAAGAAAGTAATCTTAAGGATTCGGTCCATACCTTTCCAAAGCAGATACGCTGATCTTCTTTCCAAATCTGACTTCTGTAAAACCGCGTATAGCTTTTAAGTAAACAGCTTCCTAAAACAGATCTTCAGTGTCAGTCCCTCTGTTGTTGTATCTGATAGATCAGTCCTCTGTAGAACAACACTGACACTGAGCTAATCCTATCTTAGTATGCCATAATAATATTGCCAATTATAAGTTGGGGTTTTTGAACAATTAAAACACTAACAAAACTAATATAACAAATAACCATAGTAATGTATCTGTTGGGCGTTGGCTATTTTGAAAGGTGAGAGTGTACAAATAAACATGTTTACTTAAGAGAAAAGCAGCCTTGAAGCAAAAATGTGCAATTTACTTTCTGGTGTTAGGTATGCCCTTTTTCATCAATAGCTATGCCACCTGGTAGATAAAAAGAATACATCAAAGACAATATACTCAGTATAATTGAATATATAATAATTTGCAATTAAAGATCATGCATGCACTTTCACATATCAAAGGTGTATATTGAAGCATTTAACTCACAATTCAACGAATCGAAGCAGATAGATGAAGGGCCAAGAAATACATACTGTGCAATTCAAGTTATATATTCCAAGATAAAACTCACAACTCAAAAAATAATTTACTGCAAACCCATCTCCAATCCCCCACTTCTAACCCCAACCAAATCCACCCCACTTCTAATTCATTGACCTTTGTCAAAATTTCAAGTGGCTTGCTACTGGCTTTAACAAAAAGTCGTCCAACATAGCTGAAATCAGAGAAGAACAGATCAAAAGCACAAACATGAATCTCCATTCTCAATAATGGGAAAAAGGATCCCAAGTATTTAAGCATTGTTACATGAAGATCTATTCACAAGAATGGAAGGACTCCAAGTATACCAGCATGTTTGGATGATGTTTCTTTAAGAACCGCATGCATGTTGGAGACCCAAAATAGAAAAAGTAATAGTGTCGAGAGCAAAAGCCAAAGCATGAAGCTCAATTCATAAGTACAGAAATAAAGTGCCAAGTACACAATTCACTTGTCCAGCATGTTCCAGTAACACCATGTGCATGAAGAAGACCAAATATAAAGAAAACAATGGTGATAGTTGGCTTAAATAAAAGAATGAAAAAACTAAAACAGACTCACAAATATTGTACAAGCATCAGCGGTAGTTCATAATCTATCTTTCTTCAGTGTAAGCAATATGCCAATATGCATAGCGTAGCTTAGTGAAAGCGGCAAATTATGCTATGCGCACGTGCACACCTTGCAAGGTGCGCACGGCGCTAAAACGGCATCGTTTTCACTGTTTTAACTAAAAAAATAATTTTTGTTCGAAACGCCGTTAACGGTGTTAACGGCATATTCGTTATAAAATTATGAATATACAGTTATGACATTATGAATGTACAGTTATAGAATTATGAATGTATAGTTATGGAATTATGAACTTACAATTATGAACATAGAACTTCGAAAATTATGAATGTTCGGTATGGAATTATGAATATACAGTATGGAATTATGAATGTACAGTTATGGAATTATGAATGTACAGTTATGAAATTATGAACATAGAACTCTGACATTATGAACTTACAATTATGAACATAGAGCTTCGAAAATTATGAATTTACAGTTATTGAATTATGAATGTACCGTTACGGAATTATGAATGTACAGTTATGGAATTATGAATGTACAGTTATGAAATTATGAACACAAAGCTCTGAATATATGCTCCTATAACGAAGCGGTCTGAAATTAAATTAAAAAAAAAAAAGAAAAAAAAAGAAGGAAGATAACGGTGCCTGACGGCACCGTTACCGTGCCCATAATGCACGCTGAGCACGAGCCCACAGCATAACGACTCAGTGTAAGCAATTGCGCGCATAACAATATGCTATTACAAATAAAATAAGTTTCATACAAATTAATTATCATAGGAACCTAGATGCCAATATGATAATCATTTCACATTATTACATCCATATGAGTACCAAAAATTAGTCATGAATCTTTTTCATGCAGATTTTACTTTAAATTGTTTAAATAGGTTCACATTAGACAAACATGGAATGGCTATCTCTTAAAATAACCAAATGTTATCTAACAAAAAAAAAAAACTGAGCAAGTATAATACCGTATCTCCTGCCCAAGAGGATCATAACGTTTGAAGAATAGAAGAATGTCTTTCTTGGTCTTCTCTGGCAGAGGGATGGGTTCCCAATCCTATATGGAAGCACAATATATCAGAGAGAGATGAGAATTAATGACTATTTCAGGAAAAATATCATAAGGAGGTAGATCACTGGGCAAGTCGACCATTCCCTTGCCAAGTTCTATTTCCATAAACAAGGTTAGCTCAGCTTTTTCTTCATTAGATATTTCACTCAGTTTGCCAACCTTAAAAATACAGTATGGAAGAGTATCAATAAAATCCATTGAGTTTGCAGACATAAGTAAAAAATAATATACATAAATAAGTAATAGAAACAAAATACCACTCAAAAGAATAAGAGATTTTCGGCCAAACAGAAATGGCGGAGACAACAGGAGAGCAATGAAGCTGTACAAACTCCAGGATCATTACATCAACTCACCATATTTCAGATAGCCAACAAAAATATAACCATAAAATTTCCAATAGCTACAGAACATAAGTAATGAAAACAAAAATATTGTCATAAAATTTCCAATAGCTGCAGAAGCAATGAAACTACCAAGGCAGGAGCACCAAGAGCTCTCAGAGCTAGAAATCTTCGTAAATAAATTCAGCACAGAGCCACAGAACCAAAATCTTGAATTTACATTTTACTACATCTCTCCAACTTACAGCCTCTCTCCAAGTTACTTCTAGAAACAACAAAACACATTCACAAACACATGAAGAACAAAAAATTCTCTTATTGCAACAAAAGCCATTTCAATAGGGTTATTAACACATCAAACTGAACAAGAATAAAAACCTAAACCTGCAAACTAAAAATTCTTACAATGTCAACAATTAAGCCACTGGAGAAACACTACAAAATTTAAAAAATAAACATCTATATGATTTTCTTTATATAAATCAAACTATCAAAGTGAACAAATAATCAAATAGAAATTATAAAATTAGTATGCAAGTTAGTAACTTACCTTGATAATTGGAACTTGGAAGAAGTGAAGAACCAAGAGTCTGACCTGGGTGAGGGCCGTGAGGCGTTGAGGCTGACTGGTTGAGCGGCGATGTTTTTGGCTTTGGAATCATGCTTCTAGAGCTTTTAACTGGTCAACGTGCAATAGACTTCTCTCACCTTGAAGAAGAAGACGACGTGTTATTGCTTGATCATGGAAGTTGGCAATGTTATTCACTCTTTCCGTCTTTCGTTTCGTGTTGCAAGACAAAAGAATTGTGCTTTTACTCAAACATACTTGGCGTGATTTATTGTGAAACCGGAAGGGAAATAGGCAGCACACACATCTTAGTTTAACTGTACCTACCCGTTGGTTATTCTATCTAATTCTCTATCCATATTGCCTGCTTTCAGAATAATGAACTTAGAGGCCTGGGTAATCCCAGTTAAAATGGTTAAGGATATAGAATTGTAACCATAAGGTCACGAGTTCGAATCCCAGCCTTCTTGGTTTGAGTCCGGTCAGCTATGGACAATCTAGGCTGGTTTACCTCCTTGTGGACCTTTGCCTTGCCGGCTAGGGTTACAAGGTAGGGCGGTCGGTTATGGGCAATCTAGTGGCTTAGTTTGTATAGTAACTAGTGTTATCTATCTATCTTCTTCAGGTTGCGCTGCTGTGCACCCAGGCATCACCTGAAGAACGTCCGGCAATGTCAGTGGTAGTAAGAATGTTGGAAGGGGAGAGGCTTGCTGAGAGGTGGAAATAGTGGCAACATGTTGAGGTAACCCGTAGGCAAGAATATGAGCGGCTGCAGAGACGATTTGATTGGGGCGAAGATTCTATATATAACCAGGATGCCATTGAGTTGTCTGGTGGAAGATGACATTGGGAGAAGTGTACAATTCCTTGTATTAAATTTTGCCATTGTAGTGTATTTTCAATTAAATAGTGTTGTAGTAGTTGTTTCTTACCTTCTTCACTCATGTTAATCTTGTTACAAGGTGGAACCGTCCACTCAGGCCTCGCAGTTTGTGGAGGTACAAATCATGGTGCCGTAAATTATGATGATTCAATTGATTAACAGAGGCTAAACTTTTACTCACTGCTCACAATGAACTTCTTTCATTTTTGAGAGGTTACTCTCACACTATCGCTGGTGAGACTTGATCCTTGATCTCATGTGAAAAATTTCATCTCTCTGCAACCAGTTGATCCAGTTGTTTGGTCGGCATGTATCGATTTTTGTACACGAGTGAATGCCCTGGAATTGAAAATCTTTGTATATCACTTATAGTCTATTTTTAAATTAAATACTCTGTAGTTGTTTCTTTTTTTTTTTTTTTTTTGGTTGGTTATCTGCAATACCCATTTTCTCTTTACACTATTTCACTGTCAAATGTCAATTCTTTCTGGGCCCAATTTTGGTGTTGTGAGCATAGAAATGATCTCTGTTGTTTCAATATCTATATGATTTTATTAAGAAAACCATGACTAGTTCAAGAGCCCAAACTTTAGTTAGTCCTGCGGAGCGATGCGAATTAGTTCATAAAAGTGGGAATCAAACTTATTTTATTTTCTTTTTCTTTTCCGATAGAAATATAGAATATATGCTCAGAGTAATATTAATAATAATAAAAAAACCGACAATAATTTGTTACAAAAACAATAGATACGTGATCATCGCGATCACATGACCAGAATTTTGGAGATTTAATATTGGGAAAAGTATAATTTATGTCCTTCCATAATATGCCAATTATCAATGTCATTTATGAATTATTAGTGGTGTAAATGTTGTCCTACAATTTTTGAAACGGTACATATATTACACCTCTCGTAGTGTAATACATTCCGGGTCTTCTGAGTATAGTGGTTTTGGCAAGTTTAGCCCAAAACTTTCAAATTGACCACCTGTAGTTATTCGACTTTCAAAATTTTTACCATCTGTGGTCCAAGTTAACCACCAATGGTCCTTCAATTTATCAAATTTTAACCACCCATGGTCTTTGCAAGAGGACCACGACTGGTTGAATTTCAAAAGTTGAAAGACTATGAGTGGTTAACTTGGACAACGGATGGTAACAATTTAAAAGTCGAAAGACCACACGTGGACAATTTACAAGTTTATGACTAAATGTGGTAAAATCACTATACTCGGAGGACCCCATAATGCATTAACTCATATCTAGATTAATTACCAAAATAATTATTAAACAATTATTATTATTAGACAATTATACTTATATCTGTGCAAATATACTTTTATATCTTAAGTATATTCTTTTTTATCATATCGCCTTTAATTTTTTTTCCTCAATATCTTAATGAATTAATTGTAATCATTATAAAAACAATCCAATGACCCATGTTTAATTGTAATTATACTAATATTCGTATAGTTATTAGCTTAATTAATATAATAATTATTAGTCAATTATACTTATATTTGTGTAATTAATTCCTTAATTACCAAATAATTATTAGGTAATTATACTAATAATATGCAATTTTACATTAATAGGAATATAATGATAATTTATTTTCTTCTCATAGTACTATACCATTATATATATATATATATATATATATATATATATATATATATATATATATATATATATATATATAATCAAAAAATTAATTGCAATAATTATAACAAAAAAATTCAAGATCCATGCTTAATTGTAAGTATACAAATATTTGTGTAATTATTAGCTTAATTAATAGCTTGAGGTAGTTTAGATGGAAAGTTGAAAAAATAGGATTTTGTTTTTATTAGCAGTATAGATTAGGACTTAATATTTTGAGCAGTATAGATTACGCAAACCTAAGTATTGTTCTTTATAATTCGTAGATTCGCAAGTATTATGGGATGTTTCGATTTACATTTTTTATAGGAATAGGAATATAAATTATAATATTGTTGTAATGTATTACGGATAGGAATTTTAATATTGAATTGGAGCGATAAATCATGACATGGTGACTCAACTGATCAACAGAGGTTAGACTTTTGCTAATTGCTCACAAAGAACCTCTTTCATTTGAGAGATTACTCTCACACTGCCGCTGATGAGACTCGATTCATGATCTCATTTGACAAATTCCGCCACTGCACTAGTTGATCCAGTTGTTCGGCAGGCATGCACGGATTGTTTTACACGAGGAATTGAAAATCTCTGTATATCACTTATAGTGTATTTTCAATTAAATAGTGTGTAGTTGTTTCTTAACATTTTTTTTTTTTGGTGGTTGGTTATCTGCAATACCCCTTTTTTCTTTACACTATTTCACTGTCAAATGTCAATTCTTTCCGTGCCCAATTTTGGTGTTGTGAGTATAGAATGTTAGAAATAATTATTTACTAACAATGATTTATATAATAAATGTTGTAATTTCATAAGGTACTCACGTTGATGATCAGTGATGTGTAAAGGCGGAATTACTGGGTGAAATTCCCTCCCTCTCATTCTGTTAAAATTTAAGTTTATAAGGGATAAAAGATGTATAATGAATAAGGTTATGGGTTTCACAATCTTAAAGGGATTTCTATTCCTAAAGGAGGTCACATTCCTAAAGGGATTTCTATTCCTAAAGGAGGTTCCCCATTCCTCTTGAAAGAGGGTTTCTCATCACATCTATAAATACCCAGGAAAACTCTAGGGATCTGACAAGTTTCAAATCTCTAAGTTTTCTAGTCTCCATATCATCAGGAGGTGAATAAGGTATACGGATCAGAGAGGTGAAGCATTATATTCTTGATTCATTCAATTTAGAGATTACATCTTCAATGGAACCAAGTAAGTCCTATCTTCCCTATTTAATTAAAAGTCTATGATCATGAACATTGTTTAGTTGATTGATTTGATTTACATGCGATCATTGTTAATTGTGCTTCCGCATTTAAGTTATAGCGCATAAAGGATTATTTAACATTTGGTATCAGAGCCTGCTTGTAAATTGATTAATCACTAAAATTAGGATTCATGATATTTGGGGATTTTTAATTATAAGGTATTGTCACTGTCGTGTGGTTTGTGTTCGTTGATGATGAACTTATTATATGGATGTGTGCTGCTTTGTATACGTACCGTGTATAGACAAATTTTGTTTTGTCTTCATTCAACAATCATATATGTTTGTGCATGTACTGTTCAAATACATGAAAGTTTGTAATCAGTGGAAAATATATGCACACTGTATATGATTTGTGTACTGCAATTCGTTGGAACGATGGAATCAAATTGTTCTCTGCCTTGAATATGCAATATATGTACCTGTGCGTATTGTTTAAAACCATTGAGTGCATATATACTGTTTATATATATAAGCTATTGATTTGCATGTTTATATATAAATGAATGTACGATACAGTATATGTATTATATATGGTATATATATATGTACTGTTTATATATATGTGTAATCAATGGAATCCATTCACCTTCAATCGGTGGGCAACGGAGAGATACGGCAATAACGGTAAAGTTGGCTTCTCGGTGGAGCAATGCCGACAACAGGGCAAAGAGGCAGCGGACAGTGGGTGCATCACGACTTCAGGTGATCTTGTTGATGTATCATTTTATTGGGCCAATTAATTTGAGTCTATTTGGGTTATTTAAAGTATTATGGACTCACTTTAAATTTTAGGCTCATTTAATTTGTGTTTATATTTGAGTCTATTTGGGTTATTTAAAGTATTATGGATTTGCTTTAAATTCTAGGCTCATTTAATTTGGGTTTATATTTGAGCCGTTTGGTTTATTTAAGGCATTAAGGACTTGCTTTAAATTATAGACTCATTTGGGATCAATTATGGTTGGAGGTTATATTCACCATTAGTTTATATATATGTTTATAAATGAATTATTAGCATAAAGCGAGTGCGTTAGTCGCCAAAGCGGCCCACTCATGGTAATAGCTAATTAATCATTTATGTTTATATTTACAACTTATATATATCAATTAAGGTTTATTCACATAAATGATTTATTAGCATAAGGCAAGTGTGTTAGTCACCAAAGTGGCCCACTCAAGGAAATAGCTAAATAATTATTTATGTTTACAAATGTTTATCGTACACAAGTATTTTGCATCGTTGAATGACACTAAAGGATTGATAAACATTTGTGATCATTAACACATGGTTCTAGCGGTTGCCCAAAGGTAGATCAGACATGTGATTAATGACAATTTAGGAGATTATGATTCTTGTTTTGTTAATATGTAGTGCATGTCCAAAGATGGCCTATATATTAAATTGAAACTTGATGAATAGTCTCATTCAAGCATGTGTGAATGATGCATGTCGTTTGACCCAAAGGCGGATTTAAATATAAATTTAAGGTCTATAAATTATAGTCTAAATAAAGGTTTGTTACCCAAAGCAATTGATAAATGTGAGATAAATGTTTGCAGTGAACACTATCGTATCACGCTATAAGGTGGCCGTTTTAATGTCAGTGATAATAGCAGCAAATCTAAAAGTAGTAAAGAAGGGCAAGCATCCTATGAAGGTGCAAGGTGATTCTGTAACAAACCTGGGCACAAGAAGGCTGAATGCCTGAAGAGGAAAGCTTGGATGGAAATAAAAGTATACATTCAGTTTCAGTATGCTTTGAATCCAATCTTGTTAAGGATCCTTCTAATACTTGGTGGTTAGGCACTGGTGCTACAACACATGTTTATAACATTAAGCAAGATTTTTGATGTTTTAACCTCACATGGAAAATGAAAAGTGTCTTTTCATGGGAAACATGATGAAAACTAGAATTGAAGGTATTGGAACTTACAGAATTAAGCTGGATATAGGTTTTTGCCTTGATCTTGAGAATTGTCTGTATGTCCCAAATTGTTCTAGAAATCTTGTTTCAACAGGTTGGAAACATTGAGTTTTTACTTTAAGATTGGAAACAAATGTTTGTATCAACAAAAACCTTTATGGTTCTGGTGTTTTGTTGGATACACTATACTGTTTCAATCTTAATGATGACTTTGTTAATTCCTTGTTTAATGCGATGTTTGTGTTAAAAGGAATGCGCCAAAAGAATCTTCAGCTAACTTGTGGCATAAAAGGCTTTGTCATATATCCCAATAAAGGATATTGAGACTTATTAAAGTTGGAATTTTGTCTCAATTGGATTTTAATGACTGGAATGATGCATGTGTCGATTGCATAAAGGTAAAGCAAGTCAGACATGTATCAGTACACTCAGCCACAAGAAGCTCATGATTACTTGATTTAATACATACAGATATCTGTGGTCTCTTTTGATGATCCGTCTTGGAGCGGTGATAAATAATTTATTACCTTTATTGATGATCATTCTGGGTACTGTTACATCTATTTACTGCGTGAAAGATCTCAGTCTGTGGATGTCCCAGAGACATTCATATTTGAAGTTGAGAGTCAGTTAAATAGAAATGTAAAGACAACTAGATCATATAAAGGTGATGAGTATTATGGGAAAACATCAAAAGTTAGGCAAATTCTCGGTCCATTTAAAGAAATTCCTCGAATCTAAGGGCATCTGTGCATAATACACAATGCTAGGCACACCACATCAAAAATGGTGTGGAAGAAAGGTGAAATCGTACTCTAAGGGAAATGGTTAGGAGTAAGGTCAATAACTGTACATTGCTTGTTTCATTGTGGGTATATGCATTAAAGACAACAACATACTTACTCAATAGGGTTCCTAGTAAGGTTGTTTTTTTTTTTTTTAAAACACCTTATGAACTGTGGACAAGAAGGAAACCTAGTTTGAGGCATCTTCACATTTAGGGCTGTCAAGCTGGAGTGATGATATATAATCCACATGAAAATAAATTGGAATCCAGAACCATTAGTGGTTATTTCATTGGATATCCAGAAAGGTCTAAAGGGTACATGTTTATTGTCCTAATCATAAGTACGAGGATTGTTGAGTCTGGTGATGCTCGCTTCATTTAAAATGGCGAAGTCAGTGGGAGTGTGGGAGCTCGTAATGTTGAGATTAAGGAGTCATTGATGGTTACAGATTCATCAAGTGATCCTTTTTCCTGTTGTTGTTCCTATTGCTGCAGTGCAGTGTAGCCTTATGGAAATACTTTGGAGCAACAGCAACTAAAAGCTCAAATTCCACATGAGGAAGCTATTGTAAATGAAGATGAGGTTGAAACTCAAGATGATGATCAAGTGAAATCTTAGCAGGAAGTGGCATTAAGAAGATCTACTAGATAGAAAAGATCAGCCATTCCTGATGACTATATTGTTTATGCACTTGAGCATGAAAGTGACTTGAGCATTGATAATTATCCAGTCTCATTTAACCAAGCCATACAGGATAATAATTCTCCTTGAGAATTATTTTGGTTTTGGTGGCTCATTATGTTCTTGAGCTCCACCAAATGGTTGTTAAAATTGCCTTTCTGAATGGTAAATTAAAAGAGGAAGTAGACATGGATTAGCCGCAAGGCTTCATGGCCACAGGAAAGGAAAATCTGGTATGTAGATTGAAGATGTCGATCTATGGATTAAAACATGCTTCTAGACAATGATACTTGAAATTGTCATTTGGTTTTGATCACTGTTGATCAGTGTATCTACATAAAGGTTTAATGGAAGCAAGTTTGTAATCCTAGTATTACATGTTGACGACATTCTTCTTGCTGCTAATAATAAAGGGATGTTGCGTGATATTAAGGAATATCTTTCTAAGAACTTTGAAATGAAGGATATGAGTGAGACTTCATATGTGATTGGAATAAGAAATATTCTGTGATAGATCACATGGGATTTTAGGTTCATCCTAGAAGACTCACATTAACAAAGTTTTAGAAATATATAAACTGGAAATCTGCAAAGAGGGTCCTGTGATACTTACAAGGCACTAAGGACCACATGCTCACTTATAAAAGGAACGAATAACCTGGAGGTTATAGGTTATTCGGATTCAGACTATGCCGGATGTTTGGATACCAGAAAATCCACATTCGAATATTTTTTTTTTCCACTTGCTCATGGAGCAATATCTTGGATGAGTGTGAAGGAGCTTGTCATTGCTACTTCCACTATAAAGGCAGAATTTGTAGCATGCTTTGAGGCTACAATTCAATAATCATGGCTGCGTAATTTCATTGAGGATTCATTATGATAATACAGCAGCTATGTTCTTCTCAAAGAACGACAGATATACTAGTGGTGCCAAGCACATGGATTTGAAATTTCTGTTTGTTAAGGAGAAGGTACAAAATCAAAGGAGTATCAATAGTGCATATTGGCACCGATCTTATGATCACGGA